ATCGTTGATGCTTTTGTGCTTCCGGTATGTTGCTGATTTTGCTATGTGGATTTATGAATGCTATTATCCGGAATGAGTATTCTTACTACGCACTAATAGGAGTCTCAACTGTGGTTCCCTTAGCATTCATTTGTAGTACATGTTTAAATTTCGATGCCTTACTCATCACAGCTTTTTATTGTGGGAAATACAGCTGGAAAACAATGAACCGTATTATTATGAAGCACTAATTAACACATTCGAATACTCTATTTTATCGAGGCACCTCCTCACCTCACCTGGTCTGTTTGCATATATGGTATTTTCATCTTTGGTTAAGTCGTTGGTTAGTATGATAAAAAACTAGTGGTTGTTAATTTTTATTTGATCCCATATTTACCGTTTATCGTTTTAGGACCATGGAGCGTTGCGCAAATTCCTTGTTATCGCTTGGTTTTCGTGCCAAATTTAAAACTGTTTGTGCCATATTTGCAGCTTGTATTTGCATTCTGCTTTATGTCACCGCCCACCTCTTTTCTTACCTTCACTCTGACATCTCTCATTCGGTTCATGGTGAGGACGAAATTATTTCAGACATCAACCATCAACCGCGCTGCACAATGGATACCTGTTTTGATAGCTCACGTTGTTTAAAATTCAAGGTATGTAGCCTTTGTGCTTATAGAATTTGTTCGGCTAGTATTTAGTAGATTCTTCATGCATTATAGGTCTATGTATATCCCGATGACCGACGTGCCCCAAAAGTGTCGGAAAACTACCAAAAAATACTTGATGCAATTAGACGGTCGCCTTTTTATACTACTAACCCAAGAGAGGCCTGCTTATTTGTTCCAAGTCTTGATACTCTTGACAGGGATCCTCGAAGCTTTCAGTATATTTCAGACCTGCATAGGCGTTTAAATCGGCTGCCCTATTGGAATGTGCAGCCGGGTTCCTTTCAACCATCGGAAGGTTCTCATCTTACCATGTTGTTTTCCTTTTTGCAGTAGTAGGACAATTTACCTGGATAATTTGCTAGCTCAATTGTATCTTAATATTCTAAACAAATGTCACGATTCCCTTCTTAAGTTTATCTACTTTTTTGAAATTCGTTGCCTTTCATGCAACCGTATTTTCGTAAGTCCTTAGATATTCACAAGTGGTCTGACCACTCTAAGCGAAGCTGTAGCTAAGGATAAATGTCGGCAAAATAGATCTCTATGGCTTAGGGAGGGTCTCTTTCCCACTTTCGTTTGATTTATATGCTTAAGACAGAGATAACGCTTTGATGTTTTACAGCCACTGTTCAGGATCTCCTTCGCCGTTAGTAGTTCACTTTTTTTTGAAGATAAGCGATCTCGGCCTGGTATGAACCATCTCCTATTCATCCTTTTTCCCGGAAGTTGGCCGAACTACGATGTCGACGAATTGGGGATGGACGTTGGGAACGCGATGTTAGCTCGCGCCTCGGCTTCGAAAGTACGCATGCGAAGAGGATTCGACATCTCTTTTCCCCTCGTAACTTCGAATTATCCCGAGGCTGGCCAACCACCACGCTACCCACCCACAGAAGATGGCCGTATCAGGCTTAATCTGCTCACCAGTTTCAAGGTGTTCTTCGCACATCATGAATTTTGCCTCTTTAATTTTTCCTCGTTTCATTTTTATTGTTTTTTGGGAACACATTAGTATCTTATTCTGCTAAAAAATATTGGATTGCTTTTCGTATAATCCTATTAATGTTCCAGTGCTGTGTTGGAAGAATGCTTTTGGCTACTACTTAATTAGAATTTCTTGTTTTTATACAAGTACTATTCACACGTCATGGGTACAACTTTATTCTCACCACAACTTTCTACTCATTATTGACTTTGTTAAACCAATTCTAGTTGAATTCTCTTATTATTTTTGATGAGTTATATGTTCTGCCTATTTACTTTCCATTTTTGCTGTTTTTTTGCTTCGGTCTGTAGTGAGTTGTGCCAATTCAGTAGCGCTGTATCTGTTTTTTCTTACGCGCACAATTTTGGCTTTGTGTAAACGCATAATCTAATTCAGAGCTTAATCACGTGTTTGTTCACTTTTAATGAATTTGCTAGCACAAAAACTGGGTCGTATTTTCGCCTTCGCAGTCGTTAATGGGCACATGGGCTCTTCATCATCTAGTATGCTTTTTGAAGGCATTGTTAAAAGTACTTTGTTTTCTTTCAGGGAAAGCGATATGTGGTTGGCATAGGATCAGAGACGCGAAATGCCCTCTACCATATCCACAATGGGAAAGACATAATTATGGCTACGACTTGTAAACACTTACAGAATTGGAACCTCTATGCCGACACTCGTTGTGCATCCGACAATGTCTACTATGAGACGTATGTTCTAGTAGCTTTGACTAAGCACAACATTTTAAGCAGATAGCGAAGTTATTAGGACGTGTTAACACTACAGTTTAAGTTCTCGCCTCACAAAAATTCTAGGCTTATGCAAGCATAGGCTCTCATTTCCCTGTAAGATTCACCATCTGTAAAGGTATAGCTGAGTACCCCCAGACAATTGATTCGCTACTTTAGTATCCAGTCTTTCACATTTAGGGCCCTATGTAGTTGGGTGGCAGACCTATGTGCTTGTTTATTGGTACATGTGCACACCATTCTGTTTCGTAATCTAATTTAAGAAC